CAGAGGTTCGTCTAAAGCGTAGCCCGGCACCCAGCTGTTGGCACTGGCCGGGGTGCCCTCCTTGGCGAGAAGGTATTCTACCCCCTCTTCCCCCATCTGGAGTCCAAAATCTCCGTGGCTTCGTTGATGCGCTCCTCCCGTGCCACTCCCCCCTGCCCGGTTCTCTCTCGGAGCGGACCCGGTGCCGTTCCTGGTTCCTGAAACCTGTGAGGTGCCTTGTATGGAGTGAGCACCGATCTGTGGAACACCGGATGCATCCTGGAACCCTCCGGAAGAGCCAGCCTGAAAGCCACCGGGTTGACCTGTTCTTCGACTTGGTAGGGCCCCAGTTGTTTATGCCCTAGTTTCTTCTTCACCAACGACCTGGCCGGCACTGCGTGGGCTGCTAACCAGACCCAGTCTCCCACATGGATCTCTTCGCCAACCCTTCTGTGTTTGTCCGCTTGTACCTTGTATGCGTGTTTAGCCAGCTCCAGGTGCCGCCGCAGCTGATCGTGGACCTCCTGCAACTCCGACGCGAATGCATCTGCTGTCTGCGGCTCCCCTCCCCATTCTTTCCAGTCCCGGGAAGGTTCTGGGGTGCCTCCCGTTGTTGGCGAAGAACGGCGTGACCCCCGTGGACACGTGCTTCGTGTTGTTGTAGGCGAACTCGGCGAGAGGCAGGTAATCCACCCACGTCGCAGGCTGTTGATTCGCATAACATCTCAGGTACTGCTGCATGATGGCATTGACCCGCTCCGCTTGCCCATTGGTCTGCGGGTGTCTAGCCGACGCCAGGTTGATCTTGACGTTCAGGAAGCCCATCAGCCTCTGCCAGAAGTTTGAGATGAACTGTCGCCCTCGGTCGGACAGAATAGACCGCGGCAGACCGTGAACCTTGAACACGTGGTCTATGAACAGTTTGGCGGTTTGTTCCGCCGTGGCCACCTTCGCACACGGAATGAAATGTGCCATCTTGGAGAACAAGTCCACCACCACCAGCACAGCCGTCTTGCCCCTCGAGCTGGGCAGATCCGTGACAAAGTCCAGGGCCACTCTCTCCCATGGTTCGAACGGAGTTTGCAGCGGTTCCAGCAATCCGGCCGGCGGTCTGTGCACTGGTTTGGCCCTCTGGCAGGTGTCACACCTCGCCACGTAGTCCGCGACTTCCCCTCTCATTCCTGGCCACCAGAAGTCTCTGGCTACTAATTCCACCGTCTTCTCCTTGCCAAAGTGCCCGGCAGTGGGCGCGTCGTGCAGCTGCTGCAGTACCTTGGCGCGAAGTTCGTCTCCCGGCACGTAGATGGCCCCTTTACGGATGAGCAAACCATCTCGCAGCTGGAACTCGTCGGTCGCTGCCGTGCCCCTGTGCGCCTCTGCCATCTTTGCTTGCGCGAAGGAGTCATCCTGCAACGCTCGTCGCACCGCCTCCAGGTCAACTGTTGCCGCCGTGCACGCCCACACTGTCGGTGCGAAGATGTGCATGGCGGCCGCTGGCGTTGCCTCCTCCAGATACTGCGGCTTACGGGAGAGAGCATCCGCCATGATGTTGGTGTCCCCCGGGACATACTCTATTCGGAAGTCGAAATTCGCAAAGAACTCAGCCCAACGTATCTGCCTTTGGTTCAGGAACTGTGCCGTGCGCCAGTGCTCTAGATTCTTGTGGTCCGTGCAGACCTGCACTGTGTGCTTGGCGCCGATCAGGAAGTGCCTCCACGCTTTGAACATGCATGTATTGTAACAACATGTGTCTCTTATTGTGTGTTATGTTAATATTATTTAGGTGCCAGGGGCGTGAACATCAACTGTCTTCCTAACTCAGCTTCCGCGCATCGAATAAAATTTCGCAGGTCCAACAGTGAACACGCTGCCCTTCCCGTGCCGCGAGGAGATCGATTACCAGGGCATGGGAATTAAAAATATTAGGTAAAGGTAAAGGGACCCCTAACCATTAGGTCCAGTCGCGGACGACTCGGGTTGCGGCGCTTATCTCGCTTTATTGGCCGAGGGAGCTGGCGTGTGGCCAGCATGACTAAGCCGCTTCTGGCGAACCAGAGCAGCGTACAGAAACGCCGTTTACCTTCCCGCTGGAGCAGTACCTATTTATCTACTTGCACTTTGATGTGCTTTCAAACTGCTAGGTTGGCAGGAGCAGGGACCAAGCAACGGAAGCTCACCCCGTTGCGGGGATTCAAACCGCCGACCTTCTGATCAGCAAGTCCTAGGCTCTGTGGTTTAACCCACAGCGCCACCCGCATCCCAAAATATTAGAACAACCCTATTAGATCGGAACCAAGGTCCACATGGTGTGAGAGGGGCTAGAGTCAGCACTAAATTAATAAGTCATCAATGCCTGTGAAGTTAACTCTATTCAAGGGGGGGAATGTAGCTCAGGCCTAGTGGTCTCAGCAACTCTTCCTAGGAGGTATTGGCCCGATGACACAGTTGTGAGGACTGAAGGTCCCTGCCTTCCCTCAGCTGTCTAAGGCTCCTCCTGTCCAGGGTCCCACCCCCATAGTCTCAAACTGCATCTGTGCACAACCAATCTATGTCCTGCTCTTTTCATTTCTCTGTGCATTTTCTGAGACTAGGGGGGAGGGGAGCTGGATGCAGCAGGAGGGGGAGACTCCCTGAATTCTTCGGCAGCTTCTTGACACCCCCTCCTTTTCTCCCGCCTCTGTTTCAGCCTCGGAGTCTGAACTGCACTCTGCCACAGACTCCTGCTGCTCACTAAACCCTGTTTCTGACACCGCCTTCCCCTCTAACCACTCACGGTCGTCCCGCCACCAATCCCTTGGCTCTGAGCCTTCTTCCCCCGGGGGTTCCCCAGCTGGTGCCTCCCACCACTCCTCTGCATCCAGCCAATCCATGACGCCTAGGTTGGCATCATGGTCAACCAGGAACAGCCAGCATGGTGCTTCTAAGATCCCTTCTCCCCCACATGTTGAAAGCAGTGGCTCTTATTTGGGGGAAGCGTGTGGCGCTGTGGGTTAAACCACAGAGCCTAGGACTTGCCAATCAGAAGGTCAGCGGTTCAAATCCCCGCGACGGGGTGAGCTCCCGTTGCTCGGTCTCTGCTCCTGCCAACCTAGCAGTTCGAAAGCACGTCAAAGTGCAAGTAGATAAATAGGTACTGCTCCAGCAGGAAGATAAACGGCGTTTCCATGCACTGCTCTGGTTCGCCAGAAGCAGCTTAGTCATGCTGGCCACATGACCCGGAAGCTGTACATCGCCAATAAAGCGAGATGAGCGCTGCAACCCCAGAGTCGGCCATGACTGGACCTAATGGTCAGGGATCTCTTTACTATGTACTTTAAATATATACAGTCTTGAGTATGGATTTGTCATCTGTACCAGGGGGCATGTTTGTAACATGAGTTCTGTTTGGCACCCTTCAAGCTGGCATCCAACAGGGGAAAGGTCGTAACAGAAGTCCACTGTGTTACAAGGCCTATGGAAGGCAGCCAAGCTGATACGTCTGGGTTTGGTGAGGCTTAGCACGATCCTATTAAATCGCCAGAGCCACAAGAACTTGCAGGTGGGAGGGTGTGTGTGTGTATGTGAGAGAGAATGGATAAGAAGTCCATTGTTCTGGAACAAAGGACAGTGAAAAGGGTTGCTACGTCTGCAACCAGATGCTGTGACAACAAGCTCTTTATGAACAAGCTACAAAAGTTTCTACAAAGCACTCCTTGATTACATGTAGTAAAATATTTGTTATCTAAGCAGCCCAGACCCAACATCCATCCGACAGATCCAAAGGTAGTAGCCCTGTGAGTTTCATAAAGCAAACACACAAAGGGAGAGAATTTCTTGCGGCACCTTGAAGGCTAACGGATTTCTCGTTAGTGTTATCTGGAAATCTGATAAGACTTTGTGCACCCCCTGCTCAGGATATAATTAATATGTTCTTTGTCCATGAGATTCAATGTAACTTTGCCTGGAAATTTCTCTGTTATGGAGAAAGCTCAGCTCATTTTCAAGTAAAAACATTATATTATGATGATGATGATGATGATGATGATGATGATGACATCCATCTGACTGAGTTGCCCCAGCCATCTTGGGCGGCTTCCAGCAAAATATAAAAACACAATAAACCATAAAACAGCAAAGACTTTCCTATACAGAGCTGCCTTCAGATGTCTTCTGAAAGGCAGATAGTTGTTTATCTCCTTGACATCTGATGGGAGTGTGTGCCACTACTGAGAAGGCCCTCTGTCTGCCTCGTTCTCTGCAACCTTACATCTTGCAGTGAGGGAACTACCAAAAGGCCCCCAAAGCTGGATTTCAATGTGTGGGCTGAATAATGGGGGTGGAGACACTCCTTCAGGCATATAGGGCTAAGACCATTTAGGGCCTTAAAGTCAATGACAGGGGGTCAGCAAACATTTTCAGCAGGGGGCTGGTCCACTGTCCCTCATACCTTGTGGGGGAGGCTGGACTAGACTATTTTTATTATTATTTTAAAAAGAATGAATTCCTACACCCCACAAATAACCCAGAGATGCATTTTAAATAAAAGCACACATTCTACTCATGAAAAAACACGCTGATTCCCGGACCACCCGTGGGCCGGATTTAGAAGGTGATTGGGCTGGATCTGGCCCCTGGACCTTAGTTTGCCTAACCATGGTCAACACCAACACTTTGCATTGTGCTCAGAGATGTACTTGGAGCCACTGTAGATCCTTTAGGACTGGTGTCATATGGTCCAGGTGGCCGCTCCTGGTCACCAGTCTAGCTGCCGCATTCTGGATTAGTTTTAGTTTCTGAGTCGCCTTCAAAGGTAGCCCCACACACAGCGCATTGCAGTAGTCCAAGTGGGAGATAACCAGAGCATGAACCACCCTGGAGAGGCCATCGCCACTGCTGGAACCTGCCTTTTAGTCAGCATCCGACATGAACAGAGGAGAAGCAACAGGCTGTATTTAGGACAGGAAGTGGTTGTTGAGAATGGGGAGAAGAGCCAACTCATGCGTCCCGTTATTGGGCTGCAAGGCAATTTCCAAGGCAAAGAAGGAGAAAGGGTCTGCTCAGCGGTACAGCATCTGTGTTGCATACAGAAGAACCTGGGTTCAACCCCCAACTTCTCTTGTCTGAAATGCCTGTCATTATAGACCATGCCAAGTTAAATGCATTGTGTGCAAAACGTCCCAAATTCAATCCCCAGCATCTCCAGGTAAAGCTGGGAAGCACTCCCTGCTGGACAACCCAGAGAGCTGCTGCCAGTCAGTGTAAGCACTACTGAGCTAGACCAACCAATGGTCTGATTTGTTATAAGGCAGTGCCCTAGTGAAATATACTCGGTGAGGAGGAATGGAAGTTCCCCCAGAATGTCTGCTTTATATACATTATTTACACAATGGGCCCCACGTGATTGGCTAATTCCGGGATTCTCCTGTAGGCCAATCAGGTTGCGGGTTCACTTCCACCTGGAGCTGGATTGGGTGGCTCCTGTGGACCAATCAGACTGCTGCATTCTGAATCCTATTGTTCTAGGACCAATCAGACTGCTGCATTTTGGATCCTATTCAACTCTGTACATAACAGCTATGCTGTGAACAAATAACACTTTTGGGTAATGTTATTTTAAGGAACTAGGATACCGTGTTAAAGTCATGGCTTTCCTCAAAGAATTGTGGTAGTTTGTTAAGGGTGCTGAGAGTTGCTGGGGGACCATTATTCCCATCCCAGAGTAACAATTCCCAGAATTTCCTGGGAAGGGGGGCTGACTGCATCAAGCTCCCTGAATCTGCTGGCACTGAATCCCACCCGAAACTAGCGAGAGCCTGGAAGAGCCCCAAATTCAATCATAATCCAGCCGCCCGAGCTACTTAGTGATTAAGGCAGTGGTTTTCTGCTAACATTATGTCCTGCATCACTCAGCATATTGCTCAGCTCTCCGTGGAAGGTGAAAAGGGCATCGCTGAATTCTTCAGAGCTCCGTCTTGCTCATTTGGCTGAGGGCAGCCGGAATAATCTTCCCCGACAGGCCTTGAAAATATCTTGCAACACCCACTTCTTCCTCTGCTATTATTACTGCTGGGGCAGCGTGGTGAGTGAGGGGTGGGTGTGGGGAGGGCAGAGGCCTTTAAAGGCTAGAGGAAAAGCAGAGAGAACAGTGAATGGATTCAAGGGTTCGAGCAAAGCTGATTCTACAAGCCTAAAGTCTACCCTTCCCTACTTTGGGGCAGACTCTGCCAGCACTTCTGCTACCTGTACAGCTACCTCAGGGATGGGGGACCATTTGGAGGCAGAGGGCCAGATTCCCTTGCAGGCATTTTTCTGGGGGCCGGATGCAAGTGGTAGGCAGGGCCAGAAGCAAAGGTAGGTGGAGCAACAGGTGCAACACTTCCTTTCCGTCCAATGGAGAAAAGCCTTTATAGTTCTGCGGTTCCAGTCTCTGTAATTTATTCTGTAATGCCTGTTTATTCTGTTTTCATGCCGCCTGAAATGTCTTCCACATTTTCCTCTGCTGCAATGAACCTTTTTTCCAAAGGAAGCCTTAAAAAACCCCTTCTGCCCTTAGTCCTAGAGGACAAAAGCAACTGAATGACCTGTCAGTGGTGTGCAAACATCATGCAAAATGGAGAAGGTCACAGCTCAGGGGTAGAGCATCTGTTTTGCATGCAGAAAGTCTCAGGATTCAGTCCCTTATGGCATCTCCAGGTAGGGATGGGAGAGGGAGATCGCCCCCCCCCCGAAACCCTGGAGTGCAATGGGCAGTCAGTGTAGGCAATACTGATCTAGACAGACCAGTATTTATATACCCTCCTTCATCCGTAGATCTCAGGGTGGTTCGCAACATAAAAACACAAGATAAAAACACAAAATACATAATAAAAGCAGGAAGTAGGAACCACAAGGGACACAGGTGGTGCTGTGGGTTAAACCACAGAGCCTAGGACTTGCTGATCAGAAGGTCGGCAGTTCGAATCCCCGCAAGGGGGTGAGCTCCCGTTGCTCGGTCCCTGCTCCTGCCCACCTAGCAGTTCGAAAGCACGTCAAAGTGCAAGTAGATAAAAAGGTACCACTCCAGCACGAAGGTAAACAGCGTTTATGTGCGCTGCTCTGGTTCGTCAGAAGCGGCTTAGTCATGCTGGCCACATGACCCGGAAGCTGTACGCCGGCTCCCTCAGCCAGTAAAGCGAGATGAGCGCCGCAACCCCAGAGTCAGCTACGACTGGACCTAATGGTCAGGGGTCCCTTTAACCTTTTAGGAACCACAAATCAACAACCCCACGCCCCGCATCCGGTGCTCCTTTCCTCTGCTCCTGGAATGAACAGAACCCAGAAAAGGAGAAGATACATGGAGAAAGGCAGGGCTTTTGCGTGCCTCTTACAAGATGCTTTGCACTTTGGCACCAAGCAGACGATACGTGCCTAGTACTTTAGATCATAGCTATACCACTTTGAAAATAAACATAAGACTGCTTCTGATGGTCCTGCGAAATTAAGCACACAGACCTGCTGCATTCTGGAAAGGGCGAAGCTTTCAGCAGCCTCTCATGATGCAGTCTATTTGACTAGTCAGAAACTGTTACGACCAGCTGGCTTCAACCAATCTCATGCAAACCAGGCAGCTGATCCGACTGTATTGCTCTCGTTTGCCTCCCTGACTTGCCCGCTGCGTTCAGACCTCCGATAGCTATTAGCAAAATGACATGAAGTGGAGCAATTGCTGTGATATGCCAGAGACCCAGAGCAACGATGCCGCAGTGAACGTTTTTCTCCCCCCCCCCCCACTCTTTGTAATTTAATAAATACATCCGCTTAAGTGCCCCTGCAAAGCATAGAAGGTGTTTCCATTAATTGATTACGGCCATGACTCTAAGTGAACTGCAACAATATTTATGTTTTCATTTAATTTTCTGGGTTAATGCTGCCGCAAACAGAGATGTGGGCAACCTGAGCCCGGTCTACTAAGGAGCGGATATTCGGAAACAATGACTCCGGAGGAAGGGCAATGATTTAAAAGGCTTCAGGTTTTTCCTGGATCAATGACGGTGCGGCTGATACCACAACATCCTTGTCGATTTTTTGCCATTTAATCTTAAGAGGAATCGGTCTGAGATGGACAGAACACCTGCTGTTAAGAATATATATGGCACTTCTGGGAACCGTTCCTGGATGGCTAGTATTAATAACTCATTCATTTCTCACTAGTACATCCCTTTGTAGGGGCGGTATGGGGTAGGCAGGGAATGGAAGCTATAAGACTTTACTAAATGACTCTCGTCTGGGATTAGTAAAAAATGTTGTTGAGTACTTTCCATGGAAAATAGATAAGGTTGTAACCAACTAAGGGGACGTTCAAATGTGGGGAATATTGTGTTGGTTTTCCTGACTATAAAGCTAATGTTTCTGTCCTGTTTTCTAATGTTCCTTTCACACTGCGGTATCTGTTGTGTCGACAAGCCCCCAGATCAACACAGGAAATTAAAAGGAAGGGAGACCCACCCTCTTCTTTTATTGGACTACAGTGGTACCTCAGGTTGCATACGCTTCAGGTTACAGACTCCGCTAACCCAGAAATAGTACCTCGGGTTAAGAACTTTGCTTCAGGATGAGAACAGAAATCATGTGGTGGCAGCACGGCAGCAGCGGGAGACCCCATTAGCTAAAGTGGTGCTTCAGGTTAAGAACAGTTTCAGGTTAAGAACGGACCTCCGGAATGAATTAAGTACGTAACCAGAGGTACCACTGTACAAATCATCCACCTGACATTACTAACCCAGGGAAGATTGGACCAGGAACAGCTTGGCCACAATTCATGCATCGGTTATGTCAAGACTGGATTCCTGCAATGCACTCTGCATGGCACTCCCCTTGCACTTGATCTGGAAGCTGCAGTTATTGCAGGATGCTGCAGCATGACTGCTGACAGGAATGAGGCCTTGCTGGCATATACCACCTGTACTCGGAGATCAGCACTGGTTGGCAAGTTGCTACTGGGCTACCATTGGTACATAAAGCCCTTACTAGCTGGGGACCAGTTTACCTGCAAGATCGCCTTGCCCCACATTCACCAGCTTGACTGCTTCAATCGAAGGAACTGGCACTGTCACAAGTGCCACACAATACCCATTCTGCACTCGGGAGACCTTAGTCTTTTAAGTGCGGCAGCACAGACTTTGGAACTCCCTGCTTATTGACGCCAGGCAGGTGCCTTCACTGTACTCATTTCGGCACCTGCTAAAAAATACTTTTGTTTAGAGAAGCCTATCAAGACATGTAGAGAATGCTGACCTGTGTTGCAATCTGGTTTTTACCTTATTGTTGGTTTAAATTATTATTTTTCGATGTTTTACGTAGTTGTTTTTAATTGTTTTTACTGATAATTTCATTGCTTTATTTTTTCTGTAAACTGCTTTGAGGGCTTTTTTTCTTTTCTTTTACAATCAAGCTGCATATGAATTGTATGATGTAAATAAATAAACCTAGACAGCACCTTAAAAAGCAGAGACATCACCTTGCCAACAAAGGTCCGTATAGTTAAAGCCATGGTTTTCCCAGTAGTGATGCATGGAAGTGAGAGCTGGACCATAAGGAAGGCTTATCGCCAAAGAATTGATGCTTTTGAATTATGGTGTTGGAGGAGACTCTTGAGAGTCCCATGGACTGCAAGAAGATCAAACCTATCCATTCTGAAGAAAATAAGCCCTGAGTGCTCACTGGAAGGACAGATCCTGAAGCTGAGGCTCCAATACTTTGACCACCTCATGAGAAGAGAAGACACCCTGGAAAAGACCCTGATGTTGGGAAAGATGGAGGGCACAAGAAGAAGGGGACGACAGAGGACGAGATGGCTGGACAGTGTTCTCGAAGCTACCAGCATGAGTTTGACCGAGCTGCAGGAGGCAGTGGAAGACAGAAGTGCCTGGTGTGCTCTGGTCCATGGGGTCACGAAGAGTCGGACACGACTAAACGACTAAACAACAACAACAAATAAATAAACACAGGGCTTTGACAACCTGCATTGAGGGCTATGCTACTAGCCACAATGACTGTGCTCTGCCTCCACAGCTGGAGGCAGCAGTGCTTCCAAATACCAGGAGGGGAGAGGGCTCTTGTGCTTTGTCCTGCTTGGGGCA